GAGATGCAATGGGGGGCCAGGAGCTGCTGTGGGTACTGCAGGCAGGGGGGGGCTGAGAGGCCGCCAGGGGCCATGAGGACCTGGAGGCAGTGGGGGAATCTGTGCACTGGGGAACAGGTTGCATTGGGGGGGTCCAAAGGCAGTGGGGAATGGGGGGGGGGCTGGGGCCCCAGCCCATCTCCACGGCCCCTTGGCCTCTGCTGGGGACTGGCTCACAGCAGGGCTGGGCTGAGCTCATCCCGGCCAGCCGGCCACACCACGGCCCTGTGCCGGGCCCTGGGCACCCATCGCATGGCTTCCCTTCTCCAACCACTCTCCGCAGCTCCATGGCTGCCGGCTGCCCACTGCCCACCCCCACACTGCCCCAGGGGCTGGTGGGTGCCTTAGTGCCCCCCTCTGCAGCACCCACCCCCTGCAGAACAGAGGTGTTGACCCCGGGGGAGCCCTGCATCTCCTCCCAGACCCTCTGCCCCATCGCGTCCCCAACTGATGGAGGAGCTCCAGGTGAGAGCAAGGCCAGCTTTGTGCCACCACAGAGCACACGTGCCAGGGGGGGACAGGGGACAGCTATCCAGGTGACACCCTGAGACCCCCACCCTTGGAGGGGTGCTGGCCCTGCCTCTCCACCCGCTCAGGGGATGCTGGAGGGGTGCAGGGGTAATCGCTTCCCCAGGGATCTCCCCATCTCGCAGGCAGAGCAGACCCACTCGGGAAACAGTGAGGGCGGCTGGCTGAATCCGAGAGGGTTTTTTGGATCCATTCCCAGGTGCAGGCAGCAGCTGCCTGAAAGGCGCTGCCCATCCTGTGGGACAACACCAGGGCAGCAGCAGGACACCGGGCAGCCACCACCTATCCTTCCGCCACCAACAGCCAACGTCTGCACCGACTCCCATCCCACCCACCTTCCGCGGTGCAGATGGACACTCGGGGCTCAGGGAGCATGAGATAGTGGGGCTGCACCCCGAAAATGGCTGAAGTGACTCCCCAGCAACCCCGCTCCCTGCCTGCAGCTTCCCTGGGGGAGATGCTCTCCCGGGACGGGGCTGTTACCTCAAGGAGCCGTGCATGGGCTGCGGCTGGAGATAGCAGCATGGGCTGCGAAGGGCCCTGGGTGCAGCAGCTGCGGAAGGGCTGAGCCCACAGCATGGCCCAGCCCTTCCAGCACCCCAAGATGTGGGCTCCTGGGGAGGAGGCTGTCGGGTGGTTGCCCTCCCCCACAAAGCTCACTCGCTCCCTTGGGAAACGCAGCCAGCAAACGAGGGGCTCGGCAGCAGGACAGGTTGGGGACAAGAGCACAGAGCCTCCCGGGCAGAGCAGGGGCCATGGCCGATCCCCTTCTGCTGATCACTCAGCGCAGCCTTGCTGCCCGCTCCTGCCCATGGCCACCCGTGGGCCTCGTCTCTCCCGGCTTCCCTTGGCGTGGGGGTCCAGCACCACAGGCAGGGGCTGCGGCGGCTGCTGCTGGGTGCGCAGGTCTCTGCCAGGCTCCCGGCCTCAGGGAGGGCAAAGAAGCAGCATGGGCAGCAGCCCCTGCCCCAACAGACCCTGCCCCTTGGCCCTCTGGCCCCAGACCCACGTTGGCCCCACGGGTGAGCCCTGCCCCTGCCCAGGCCCCAGCCCCTGCTTCCCCTGCCCAGCCGTGCCGCCCCACAGGCCCCTCAGCCCTGCCCGGCCTCCCCCCTCGGGCAGGATCAGGCAGCCACAGCAGCAGCTTAGGGGACCTGCCCGCCGGCTGGCTGGTGGCAGGCAGATGGCACAGCAGCACAGATGCCTCCAGCCCCCCAGTTCCCCCCCCCACTGACCCATCTGCTGCCGCAGCAGCCCTGAGCCCCCCCCTTCTGCCCATGGCACCGCTGGACTCCACACCCAGCACAGCCCACGGCTGGTGCCAAGCATGGCAAGAGGAGGTAATCCTGGCCCAGGACTGAGCGCTGCTGCCCATCGCAGCCCTCTCCCCGCCTCGAAGCCAAGCCAGCCCCTCCTGCACCCCTTCCCCAGGGCCCTGTGCCCCACCGGAGGAGTTTGGAGCCGTCCCAGGGCTGGCACCCATCTCCTCACTGCAGTCCGGCCCCTCCACCGGCACAGGGTGGGCAGCAGGGGGCGACTGTGGGTGTCCTGACCTCGGCACCAAGGCCCCAGCGCCCACCGGAGCGGCCAGTCCCAGGCACAGACGCCATCCATCTCCAGCTTTTATTGTGCAGCAAAGGGCATGGGGCAGCAGCCGTCCACTGGGTGGACTGGCCCTGTCCCCGCTGCTCTCAGATGTGCTGACACAGCCCGGGTGAGGGGTGACAGTAAGGGGGCTCTGCCCCTGGCGTGGGGACACCAGCGAACCCTCATGAGCCCGACTCACCCTTGGCCAGGAGAAGGTCCATGTAGGCACCGGAGATCAGGTCCTCCTCCCTGATCCCCAGTTCCTTCATCAGCTGGTGGGCCACACGCTCACCATCCTCCACGGTCTGCTCCTCGGTCAGCACCACCTGTGGGCACGGGGAGGGTGAGCCCCGGGGTGCACTGGGGCCGGCACACGTGCCCCAGCTGTATTCCACTCACCTCCAGCTCCAGGAAGTCCCCCAGCCCCTCCACGCTGTCCAGGTGCACCCGGGTCTGTCCCACGAGGTAGAGGAGACGCTCCTTCCTCACCACGCCCAGCACGCCCAGCGCCTGCGCCAGCACCGCCTGCGTTTCGGAAGAGGAGCTGCCTGTGGCTGGCAGCCACCCTGGGAAGGGGTACCTACAGCGCCAGGTCATGCCGGGTGGCAAAGCTGAGGGCGCAAGCCCCCAGCAAGGCCCCAGCCGGGCCACCGGTGCTGGGTGTCTCACGCAGCCCCCCGGCAGGGAGCAGCCAGCACCCCTGGGTGCACTGTCCTGGAATGGGGGGGGGGGACAGGACACCCTCAGTGCTCACCTCCAGGCCATCAGGGTCGTCCGTGGCAGTGATGGTGAAGCAGGAGAGCTTGGGGCCAGCAGCATCGGGGCGCTCGTAGAAGATCAGCTCCCCTTGCCCGTCCTGGGAAGGCAGTGGGTCAGGTTCAGGCAGGCAGGGTCAGGGTCATGGTCATTCAGGCAGGGTCAGGGTCATTCAGGCAGGGGCAAGCAGGGTCAGGGTCATTCAGGCAGGGTCAGGGTCATTCAGGCAGGGTCAGACAGAGGCAGGGTCATTCAGGCAGGGGCAGAGGCAGAGGCAGGGGCAGAGGCA